TTCTTCAATGTGCATATGGTAAGAAAGAACATTTTTATTAGATTTAAGCATAGATCAAGTGTCATCCTCTCTAGCATGCAACCTCAATATTCAATGTCGTACATTCAACTATGACTCATTTTCACGTGTCTGTTTTCTGTTTGAGGGTTCTCTCGATACAGGTTATATCACTGCGGCAGCATCAACCTCACGTATCGACTCGTTGAACTATCTTCCAATGTTCTTCAATGCCTTCAATCAATCTTGTTCACAGTGTACAGAAACTCGATATCTGATATGTTCCAACAACACCTGTCAATGCCCGCTTCATTTATTTTGGAATGGAAGCCAATGTGAAAATCAACGATATGAGAATGCATCATGTTTAAATAATGACTGGTGTCGGAATAATCCTTTTGGATTAATCTGCTCTGTGTCAAACGTCTGCATAAGTAAGATAAGAAACAACTGAACATTAGAAAACTTCAACTGTAACGGCTTTCAAAAGAAGTTCAGAAAATGAAAAATATCTAACTGGACGAACTAATGTTGAGCTTTTTCGAAGATTACATCTCGTTGATTTTTGCTGTTTAGCTGAGGGGAATATCTGATTGTAACTTGAATAACAATGGAAAATAATCTTAATGCATACTGTATTATATCCATATAAATCCCAGACTCGTCTAATACAGTATGATAGAATTGTGATACTCTATCTTCAAAGAACTAGAGGAAGCACTTTTCTTCTAATCCAATGATCTCATTAGATTATTAAGAATTTAAGTCGTGATATGATATCTGACTTTTTAGTATCTTCAACGCAAGCGACTATTTTATCAACATCAACGTCAACTACTTCAACAACAACAACAACAACAACTAGCCGTAAGTGATAAACTAAATAATAAGTGGTTTCTGTAGCTACTCGAAAAAGAATTGGTCTCACAAGATTTTGATAAAGTGTTTTCAAAACGTAAAGTGCCTCAAACATAAATAACTAAGGCGCATATAGTTCATAAAAGACTTGTATAAACAAATTAACAATTTATTGGTAAACTATCAAGCGACGTCAGGTTCAATATGATCCATTCTGTGCAAGAATAAAACACAACATAATAAGAGTTTCAAGACATATAGTCAGCTTTTTCCATCTAAAGAGTATATATCCGACCGGAATTTACGATATCATGTGCATTTTCTCGTTTCAGTGATGAAAGATCTACGAGAATTAAGAACCGTCTAGTTCTACTTTTAAATAATTTACCGTCTTCTGCTACACTTAGAATAGGAAATATGTACATGTAGTACCATACAAACAGTCTCTTCACTCCCTTTAGTCCTTTGAAGATGTGGACGTGAGTGTGGATGTGTAGGACACAAGAAGACGTATTTAGCTTTCTAAAAATTACATATATTTCGACAATGAGTGGAGATTAATCTGGTATGCTGATTTTGACTTTAACGAAACTGAGTGTAAATGGGAAAATGCTAATAAGATGTTACTTCTAAATTTCATGTATGTGATAAAAGCCGTGTCTATGATAGCTCGATGCAACATGACATATATGACACAAGCGACTTACTTAACTGGCACAAGCCCAACCGGTCTTGCCGTGGTCGATGTCAACGGTGACAACAAACCAGACATTATTGTTACAAACAATGGTAATAGCAACGTCGGTGTTCTTCTCAATGTAGGCAACGACACATTTGCTAAACAAACGATTTGTTCAACTGGTAGTAAACCGGTGAGTTTAGTAGTTGTCGATGTCAATAACGATACTAAACCGGACATTATTAATGCAAATTCTAATAGCAACACCGTTGGTGTTTTGTTGGCTTTTTGAAACTAAACTCATAAACTTAACTCCCTGAACTCCTACCAGGACTATATAAAATAAATTCATTTTCTCATTTGCTTGCTTCTGAAGTAAAATGTATTTATAACAATGTGACGGTGTAGGTGGATGTGGGTGTCTGCTGAGAGAAGAAATGTCCTCACCCACAGCCACCCACAATAGTGTATGACTGTATTTGAGAATAAATCTTTTTGGAAAAAATTCTTGTTTATGAAATATGAACGAAAGAAAGAAACATTCGATTAAAATTATTAATAGAGTGTAGATTTATTTAAAAAATGATGACAGAAAACATGGTAGATATTTTTTTCGACGAAGCCTCCCGTAAAACAAATGTAATGTGAGTGTGTTGTGATTATTATAGGTCTTACTTATCTTTTTGTTTTTCTCATGTTATGAAAACGAAAGAATAATAAATTTATCTTTCGTACACGTGTCGAACGCAAAAAAATGTCGGGATTGAAAGGGTTAAGTAAAAATAAAAACCTTATCGAACAGAACAAAAAGCAAAAACAAATTTTGCATACAATACTTCACTTTTTTATTTCTTACTCACGATAATAAAATGTCAACACCTACTGTTTTCATCTTTGTGACAGGTTCTGGTCGAGCTAAGGATGTGCCAGAGCTTGTTCGTGAAACTGTAGCTGATGGGTGGGACACATATACAATTTTAACATCAAACGTTAGTTCTGTGTTATCTCCCGATGAAATTTATAATGTGCCCGGTAGTCATGCTATTTGTAGCTACAAAGATCCACCACTCAATAGATTTCCATTTGGTACAATGCTTGTTGCACCTTGTACATTCAATACTTTTAACAAATTGGCATTAGGCTTAGGCGACAATCTTGTAACATCAATGATTGCTGATGCATTGGGTGCAAAATGTCCAGTATTTATCGCGCCTACTATGAATTATAGCCTATGGAATCATCCGCAAACTCGAATATCAGAAGCAAAATTAAAAGAATGGGGTTGCACTATCATTCCACCATATATCGATGAAAAGGTCGTTACAATGTCGTCAGTGAAAGATATTTTACAGTTCTTGCATCAACATTTTCAATAAACTGAGTGTGCGTTCTTTGTCCTCTGATAAAATATACTTACATCCAAACCTTATCTGATATTTAATTTTGATATTCTATTGAGTTAGAATAATATCTAATTAATTCATTGCTTCAATGTGTTCATTATTTTATAAAATACTTTTACAGAAGATGGATTCCTATTGTTAAACAGCTGACAATTTGTTACACGCCTGTTTATGTCATCGTGAAGATAATCTATTTCATCCACATGCACTCACACCCTTGAACTAAAAACTGATTTCAATTTCTATTCATTCAAACATTTAAGTAAATAACGAGAAATAATAAGATACATGAATGAATCATTTATTTACACGATGATTTCAATTCGATCACATACTAAATGGTTTTTTTTCTCTTTCATTTTTCAAAATACATTTATTACAAAACAGATTTCATATTTAATGTATGTTAAAAAACAACAGGAAACTACTTTTCGAGTTGTTAATCAACGTTTCTCTTGCTCACGACTCAATTAGGATATATTCTGCGATGAAAGGTATGAGTTAGGAGTTGAGATACTTACACCCTCACGTTGTATATCTATAAAGAACAACTACTTTAGTAGTTTCTTACAAAATAATTTCAGTAAATCAGAATATGAACGGTATCATTCAAAATTAAGTAAATAGGATCATCCACCTATTAATAGACTTTTTCTAAAAAATGTAATCATAAATTATAATTGAGTATCTTTATTTACGAACTTATTTCTGATCAACTCAATAGTACATATTATATTTGTATTCAACCACCATTCCAATGGTTTCATTTATAATTGTATCCAATTTCGTTCGTACTTTTTTTTTCATTGTCAAAGTATTTTACACGTTTATTTTTCTTGTGACAATCATGTTGAAATAAAATATTTATAAAAGAGAATAAATAATTGATATTATCCAGTGTTGAGAAAACAGTACACACGACTCATTAAACATACTTGTTATTTTATTAATATCTTCGATTTAGATAAACAATTTTTTATTTTTCAGATGATTCAATCCAATCTAAACAGGATAAATCCACTAGATTTTTCAAGCAATATATTAATCAAAGCATATAAAGATAAAAAACAAAATGATCGTGATAGGTTTATTTTTTAAATAGACTTTATCACATTTCATTTTTGTTCATTTAGACGTCGTATATGTTTATGGTTTAAATTATATTGCTGTTATATAATATGCGCACTTTTATTACTTATCGGACTAATTGTTGGTATTGTTGTTCCTCTTGAATTACACCACACAACAAGTACATATCTTTTTAAAGACAAACTGAAGAAAATAACAGCTGCGACAATATTTATTAGTTTTAAAAAATAGGAGAGAGTCAAAAACAAGGATATTCATGACAATATTTGAAATATAATTCGAAAAGTTTCCAATAGAATGTTCGATATGATTTATTCTTACTACAATTAAATAATTTCATAAAGAAACTTGAATAGTTTGCGTGGTTTTTTTTTCAAAATAGAAATAATTTCTTTTAATTAAATATTAATAGCTACAAATTCCAATGCTATCACTACTAATGTACTTATAACCAATATTACAACATCATCTACTTTTATTACTACAACATCAATCACATCTACAACAACATCCACTACAACTACAACAAGTATATTTTTTTACAATAAATTATCCAATTAATACGAATAATATGTCGTATCGAAGACAATAACGAAGAAGTAGTTTAAATGCATAATTATTTCATTATATTTACTGTGAATTTAGAATAATTGTATTGTATTTATACTACGAAACTTTTCGTATAGTTTTGAATAGTTCATCTGAACTTCTTAACCTAAATTACCATAGAGATCTGGTTCCTCTTGATTGTAAATGATCAAATATCATTTAATAAATCATTTCTTTTAATTTAGTATCCAAATCCAATTGGTTAATAAATGGTGATGCAGAGACAGGAACATGTCAATCAGGTAACGGTGTAACACATCCAACAGGTTGGATGTATAGTGGATCAATCACACAAGTATATTATAATAATGCCGCTGCTGATCTGTCATCCACAGATCCAGGACCTAGGTGAAATCTAGAATTAAGTGTATAATTTTGTTTAATACTATTATTTTATTTTTGTAGCAATCGTGGTAATTGTTATTTCTACGGTCAAATTTCAGCTGTTACTTCAATGTGGCAATATATAAACATGACAAATTCAATTAATCCTATTCTTATTGATAATCAAACAGTTTATTTTAATTTTTCAGCATGGATTGGTGGTTATTCAAATCAAAAAGATAATGCTCAAGTTTCATTAACATTCATAGATCAGGCTAATCAAAAAATCAATAGTACTATTACTCTTGGACCAGTATCTGTTGTAGATCGTGGAAGTATAACTTCATTACTTTTTCGACAAGCTAATGGACTTGTACCAATTGGTGCTCGCTCTTGTATAGTAATGGCCACAATTACTCGTGGCGCTGGAACGTATAATGATGGTGATATCGATAATATCGCACTTTATTTCTATCAATGAGAATATTCACTTTATTTAAAAATTGATACTTGATAAAAATCAAATAAATAAATATAATCTTTGTATAGATTTTCATCCAATGTAAAAGTCATAGAATAATTCAGTTAATTGATGATTTATAATCACGCAATAAATTTACTTCTGACTAATTTTTGAATACTTCCCGAAAAAAGAAAAATCAATTTCGTCTTTCTTTTTTTTCTATGAGAATTAATTATCAATTGATGCTTAAAATAGAAATTGATAATATTTTTTATTTTTTTACGTATATAATATATAAATGTGTTTTACTGTAAAATCGTGTGCTTGTTTATACCATTTCTATTTTTACCTTACGAAAAAAATATGACGTAGAAGGTAATATTTTTTCTCGCTCACACAGTATAAATCATACATCAAAACAAACCTAATAGGCGATAACAAATACGTCATACCTTAGTTTTACGTTCTTTTTTTTCTCACTTACTGTTATATAAATATTCGACGCAGATGTGCATTGACAATATATTCAATTTTATATTTGAAACATAAACATAACACTTACAGGTATAGAAAGTATATATAGATGAATAAAATTTTTACTTTTAACCTATTGTTTAGATTTATTATGGGGAACGATATATCCAAAAAACAATTGTTAGGTGATGCTGATCGTGATCATGATCGTGTTTCGAAAAAGAAACGACATTCATTCTTATTCAAATTATTTGGTTAGTTATCGACTGATTTCTTGGAAAATTAATAATTATTATTTCATTTTTAGACAGAGAAAGAGATTATGATCAATCTTTTCATCCCAGTGCAGAAGGTAAACGAATTTTTATATATTTTATACGTACAATAACAATTTTCTTTATTTTCTTTAGATAAACGAAGAATGCAAGATGTAAGTATAATGATATATTGTATATTGTATATCTACTCTTTTTTTAATATTTAGTCTATTCGCCGTACATCAATGACAATATTCTATCCTACACTTTGTACTGTACCATAAATTGTAATATATTTTGTACATAGTAATAAAATTAGTTTATATTTTTTAATTGTTCATATTGTAATGCTTAATCATAATATAAAGTATACATGCATTTTTATTAAAGGAAATAATAAATAATAAATGAAAAAATATTTTTATTTTAAAATATAAGTGAACAGATGAAATCATGTAGTTGCTAAAGATTGTCAAATTTATTTTTGTTTCGTATTTTGAAAAACTTATTTCATATATCACAACGAATGAGAAATAAATCATCAAGTAATTATATTCTAACAGTCATCAAAATTGTCTTTAAGTTTTTAGCTTAAGTTATATGAAATTGTTCATATGCAGTCAGTAGATATAACTGAAAAAATGACTACGATACTAATAGTCCAAAATATATTAAATGTAATTATAAACTTTACACTAGTCTTTTAAATTATTGCAATGAAATAATTGTTATTCTTTTTAACTTTGCAATTAAATAACTGAAGTTTTGATTACATAAAATACGATATAAATAATTTTGTTAAATAAATAAATGAATGAAAACCTTCATAAAAATTCTAAATTCAAGAACTGTGTCGCATCATCTACTTTTAACAATCACAAATATCCGCAAGATAAAATTAAATATATATTTATAAAAGAATCTTTTGTATGGAATTGAGTAGCTTTAACTATTCATATTCGAGTGAAATCGAAGCATTAAAATGGTGGTTTATTTCGATGATTAAAAGAAAAAATAGTGCATTTATACAAATTGATCATGCTTTCACTTTTTTCTTTCGCATGTAAGTAACATACTCCAACAATCGTAAAAGAAAAACAAATATAGTCGTACAAGTAAAGTTTACCTACTGCATTCTCATTCGATTTTTTTTTATAAAATAAAAAAAGTAAAAAGTATTGTCTGGAGAGCACTGAGATAAAACAATGTTTTTTAGATTGCTTTTTTTGTGTTATGAGTTTACAAACACTGACTAAATATTATGGCTTCTAATTTGCTATCGAGTACTACTGAAGATGAAGTAACCCAACACCGTCTTCGATATTCGGACATGGTTGAAGAGCCTCAAAAAATGCTTTTACCAATCGAAGGTTACGAAAAAATGCCTCTAGTTTCTCTTATGGAAGCTATAGAACCTCTTATAACTATTGTACCTAGTATTGATCATAAAGCTTGGGTTGCTCGACAAAATTCAGATAATCCTAAAGATGGACTAACACCTGATCAATCAGCTTCTATCGTACTCTATTCAATGGAAGGAAAATCACGAGAAACGAATGTCTACTTTGTCCTAAACTCTATTCTTCGCTCGAACAAACCCGATCGTACTGATAAATTAAAGTCTTGGTTTCTCTATTTAAAGCTTTTTATTACTGCACTCACTCGATTACCATCACGTGAGCGTACTGTATATAGAGGAGTGAAAATGGATTTGAGTGCAAGATTTACAGAAGGCAAAACGTTCGTTTGGTGGGGATTTTCATCATGTACGACATCAATGAAGACATTAAAGTCAGAAGACTTCTTGGGTCAAAAAGGTACACGAACTCTCTTTACGATAGAATGCTTTTCAGGCAAAGATATTCGAAATCATTCCCATTATCTTACAGAAGAAGAAATTCTTCTGATTGCAGGTCGACAATTCGAAGTTATTGCTTGTCTTCCTCAACCACCTGATCTTCATATAATTCAAGTTAAAGAAATCGAACCAAGTTTTCCTCACTTAAAATTAGAGTCGAATAATATCTCACTTTCTGCTTTAACTCTCAATCCAATAAAGACACCGTCACCTATTTATGAAGCCAAGCCTTATGCATCATTATTTCTATGTAAAGCATACGAAGATTTGCGCTTAAGCCAAAACTGGCATGAAAACCGAAAAGAATTAGAAATAGTAGTGGAAGCCGCAATTCATGGTATTAAAAAAGAAGGACTTGAATTAGATAAACAAGCGGAAGGAGAAGAATTAGCTGAAAAATTATTTGAAAAAAGAAGTGGTACTGTAGAAGAAATCTGGAATTGTTGTGCATATCTATATACTATAGAATGCTTTCTCTACCAAAAAATCAACGAATATATGCGTCTAGTAAAGAAAGAAGATCAAGCAAGCATCGAACTTTGGCATAGTAAAACATCTATTTTAGGTCCTTTCGCTCTTCTTCTTAATTTGGGGTTCAAGTTCAACGCTTCCGACAAGAGTACCTATCTTTATCGAGGTGCAAACATGAAGTCAGATGATATTGAAAATTACCATACAAATGTTGGCAAAGAGCGAATATTTCAGGCTTTTACGAGTGTCATTCGTAATAGAGACAAGGCAAATGAACTTGGTAATACACTGATGATAATTCATGATTGTGTTCAGCATATCGATCTTTCTCCAATCTCTGAGTATCCCGAAGAAGAAGAAGAACTTCTTCCACCTGGTCTTCACTGTAGAATCGACCGTTTGGAATTTGATTCCAAGGCAAATAAACATTTGATTTATTTAACTACATTGAAACGAGAGTAGTAATATTCATATGCTTAAAGATTCTGTGAAAAACTCTTGTACATGTAATTATTAATATATCGTTTGTATTACATGACTTGATTTTCAATGAAGAATGATGGAATTATTTTATTTTTAAAAGTATATTATATCTAAATATCTGTTTCTATAGTCTATATTCATAATATATAATATTGATAAAAGTAAATTATCAATGATTTAACAGAAATGTATATACATCAACTGGAAGCCATATTCAATACTACCTATGAGGTTTTTGAAAAACCCTAAAGAAAATTTCTAATATGAGATCTATGTTTAGCAATTGACGTACGAATTTCTTCGATACAAAATAACTTATATAGCTTACCTTAACAAAAAATTCTTGTTTATTTTTTCAAAGCAGTAATCAAGTATAAAAAAACAATTTTCAACCATTCGATTTTAGTAGTCAGATATATCTAATTCGTTTATAAATGCACATAATCAGTAATTTAAATATCTTATTAGGCTAAGAAAAAAAACTATACAGTATAAATATTTGATGTCTAGGACAGAACGTTAAAGTCACAGGAGAGAAAAGAAAAAAAAAATTTTCTAAAACACGAGGCACGAAGGTAAGCATGTATATCAATCAAAAAAATACAAAGTAAGAAAAATATCATGTTTTTTCGATAAAACAGTAATGATAAAAATATGATCGATAGTTTTTATTACATTAAAAAAATAAGTTTATTTAAAAATTTTCTAAAGGATTCAACAAAGATATGAAATACTCTTTAATATAAAAATAATAATTTCAAATAAGAAATTTGCTTGTTTTCATATTATTTAACTTTCTATCTCGTATTTGCTATTTAATTAACTAAATCTGTTTGCTAAAATAAAATAGTATCATAAGCATCAGAAAAAATAATTTTCTAGCAGAGCATCGAGAAGTACGTCTATTGAACTTGACTGTTCATAATTAATGAGCATTGACGTTTGAAAAAATTCGAAAATAATTACATAATAAAAATTCTTTCAGATGCAGTTTAAGTAGCATTTACCATTCCCATTATTATTATCGTCATATGTTGATACTAAAATTTTTTTTAATAAAATCAAATAGTTATTTGATGTGCTGATAAAGCTCGTATTGTAAATTATAGTATACTTTCATGTTCTTCATGTAAAATATTACAATTTTTTATTCAATAGATTGTTTGCCCTTGCCAATATTATGGTGAATGTAAAATAGATAGATTGACAAGAAAATTTTATACATTATATCGTCTTGTAAAATGTTTTACAGCTGGTATGAATGCAAATAAACCAATCTTTTTTTAAAGTTTTTTAGTTGATCTATAAACGTACTAGTTTTTCTCTTGTTGATGAACAATGGTATACAATCAATTTTTTACTGTCTTTAGAGAAAGACAAGCTAAATTGATACTTTCATACTGTGAAGCTCTGGTAAGTTCGTGTTATCTTTCTTTCAACTGATGATCTATATGAAATAAATACGAGCACTTTTCTGAGTATATATAAGATGATTTTTCGTTGTTCAAAACTTATTACAAACTTAAATTATTAAAATTTGCTTGTATTCAGTCTTTGTTTCACAAAACAAAAATTCCAGAATCCTAATCAACATACACTATAATAATAAAAGAAAAATTATTCCTTACAAACGTTATTACATTTAACAAATAGTAATATAAAATCAAAATATAGAACGAAGGCATTTGATTTCTAGGAATCAAATACAAAACTTCTATCGTTCATAAATTGAACGAATGATGATCAGTATATTCTGAAATCGATAAAATATCCTTCTAAATTCATTTGACCAATGAAATCTAGGAATATACTGCATGCTTTTATATAAAAGATAATATTGTTGTTATCCAATACTTACTACTTTTGTTTTGATAGGGTGTGGATGTTAAGATTGATTTTTGATTGATCCACACCCACCCTTATGTTACTCACTACTGATTTTAGCTTAATTGATCAAAATCATAAGCAATCAAAGAAATTAAAATATCAGTTTATTCACTTTTACACATCTTTGCATCATCAAAACATTTATTCATGGATAAACAACTAATAGATGACATCAGTATTGTTGTTATTGTGTCTATATATTATATATTTTTATCGATGGTTTTTTACTATTGGTGTGTTATGTTATCGACGTAATTTCATGATATTACAGTGTTGTATTAGAATATGCGAGTCAATATTTTTCATCAAAAACATTTACCTCTTTAGAGTTGTAGTCACAACATGAATGTGCAATTAAATTTAGATGTTTTCCACACTCTATCAAACAAATCGAAGGAAAGACGTTATAGTAATAAGCATGAATTTGATATTTTTGTTGTATTGTATGAGTGAGAAAATGATATGCAATAGTAGTTGATGTTTGATTTATTGCATATGATGATAGCCTAATGAATCATTTTTTGTCGATTGAAAACAATTTTCTTCATTTCTTTACCTGTATATATATATAAACACAACTATTCTCATAGTTTCATAAATCAATTCTCATCGTACTGTAGTTTTATTCTATACCAAATTATTATTATTAATATGCCAGTCTGTTGTCGTTCATCACGTTGTGGTTGTTGTTGTGATTCATGCTGTAATCCTTGTTGTAAATCTTGCTGCGGTCCGTGCTGCGGATCTTGCTGTGGTCGACGATGTTGTATGCGTACCACTGTGTGCCGTGCACCAGTCAAAGTTATCAAAAAGACAACTGTCACTGTTCGTAAATCATGTAAAAAAGTTTGTTGTTGCTAAGATTAATACTTTTTTGATTGTTTTTCTATGAACTCATTTAATATAATATAATAAACTAGCGCAAAATAAGTACATTGTTTATATTATATTAGTAGACACAGATTATTTTGTGAAAGAAACACCCCATGTCGTCAAAATCGGGGGAAAATTGACGATTTAATCGCGATTTAGCACCCGATTAATTGTGAGATTTATCGCGATATATCGCAAGAGGCTAAGATTTCGGTAAAAAGTCGTCGATTAATCGCGATTTGATAGACGATTATTTTTCGAAAAATCACGATAAAATCGTCCGAAGTGACGATTATTTTTGGATGAAATTATAGTCATCATAAATGACAGAATTTCGATATACTAGATAATCTAACATCATTTTATACTGCACTATCCATGTCACCAAAAATTCCGAAAAAATTAGCGATTTTATCGCGATATAGAAGCCGATTAATTGTGAGATCTATCGCGATAAAATCGTCAAAATTAAGGACTTTTTACCGATTTTTTTGTCGAAAAGTCTTGATTCGTAATGATTCCGACAATATAAGCATTTTTTACTGGCGATATAATCGTCAATATTTTGAAAAATCGCGATTCATCGCCCAAACCTTGACGATTTTGAAGACATGGGTACCTAATGATTTCAATAATTATGAAATGATAGCTAAGTAATAACATTAATATGAACTCATCATTGTTGTTCTCTCAAATAGTATACGTTGCAACATCTGTGGCTGCTAAATCCATTCATCGAAAACAGTTTACTTGTTATGTGTTGAAGTAAAACCATGTGAAAGAACGTGTTTTTCATCGACGGTAACACGTAAAATGCATCATAGCAAAGATACATTCTAGGGAGTTGTTTTTATGAATTTGTATTCAAGCAGCTCTTGAATGCTAACAGATAAAGTCTTCACGTGGTCCGTGAAACTCACATGCTCCACCTTCAAACTGTTCATGAAGATATTTGTGAGAATGAGTGTATGAGGGGTATAACGAAGCAAAGAAGTATCTACACCCTCGTCTTCACACCCACACCCTATTGAGAGATTTAAAATTGTTAGTTTCGAAATGAATGTGTTACTACAATATTAAATAGTAGTTCAAAAAGAGATTGAATCAACCAAACATATTATGGTGACCATTGAACAACTCGAATTTGATTTTTCATACTATTAGGATCGATTGTTTCAGCATAATACACAATAAAATCATCCGTTGGATGTAGACCAGGCGTACGAACATGATATTGACCTGGACGTGGTTTGACAATATTTTGTGCAGCTAATAAAAATGTGATACCATCTGTACTTATCAAAACATCTATACCACTATTAACCTCCTGTCGATTACCACCATTTTCACCAGCCATTACGTATTGTTGTTTTTCCGGTCGATATTTAACATCGGGATTGAAATAAGCTACAGGAGCATTGATTATGGTACGTGCACCAACTGATCGACCATTTGTACCCATATTGTAACGAATAATAGTAAACTGTTGATTATTGTTTGGATCGGGATAATTAAGATTACCATAAACCATAATGTTACCATCAGGAGCGACTGTAGCTGATGGTTGCCATATATCAAGTATGATTAATGTTGGCTGAGACCAATGGATTAGATCTGTCGAAATAGCAATCCAAATTTGATTGTCTGATGTTTGTCCATTTGGTTTAATACCAGTCATGTAAATAAGCCATTCCTTAGTCTCAGCACAGTAGATAACAGTAGGATCATTCAAGTGATCAAGACCGTATAGAAGAGGATCTATTAATATTGCCGCTGGATCACATTTTTGGATCGGGTAATTGTGACATTCAGCTCGATAGATATGATCATGCAGACTATATGGTTCATACCATCCACCAAAATATACAACTAGTGTTGAGCCGACCATAACTGTTGCAGGACTAAACACATTAGTGCTGCTAATGGCTTCATAGTTTTGACTGCTCATTGCGCAAATAGTCAAAATATGAATGAACCATATAATAATGCATGCAATATTTATCGATAACATCTAAAAAGACAGTATCAAATAAGTTAAGCAATAATAAAAATAAAATATTCTAATTAAATTATCTTTATCAACTTTTTTTTATATTCTCTTATTCAATTTGTGTGCACGTCTGAGAACGATAAATGGTTGATGTCGAGTATTAAATAATAGTACTAAAACTGATATTAACTATTTTCTTCTGTTTTTTACATGTTAAATTACCATTTATTTATTCCTTTCTACTTTCTTTTTATGCAAATTACACTACATAAGAAATGACAAACAACCATTTTTATATACATTACATTTTATACTACAGATTGTTGTTTTTTCAATGACGACAATTTATCTAATCAGAATCATACAATATTCATTATTTATGCTATGAGATTTACATTTTTTATTTTAATCATATCAATCTGCACAGTATTTAATTATTACAAATAATATTTATTAAAATATTTTATGCAAAACGATATAACAAATCAGGGTACTTAAAAAACATCGTACTTTTAGATATATGAAAAGCAATGAACCGTATTTAATCGTATTTGCGACAAACAGATTTGAATAAAGTATTACATACTTATGTAGAAATATAATTATTGAAAAAAACTAATTAAATGTTTATTCGAGAGAAAATTGTTTGATACTCCTCAATAATTAATATATAAAGACTGTTAAAAACAAAAATTCTACATTACTCAGTAAAAAACTACAACTGAATAATAATCAAATATTACCATAAAAGGTTTTCGTCAAGGACGTTAGCTTACGTGGATATTAAATAGTCATTAATCGTTCTAATAGAAAGGTTATCAAGAGCATCACTTTAAATATAAAAAAAATGCAAGTAAATTGGTGAATAAATGCTTTCTTACATATTCAGGTAAACAGTTAATAATCTCAATAGTGACAAGAAACGGTAGAATTAAAATGACTAAGATAAGTTTTAAAACAAATATATTTTATTGTATTATGTTGATGTTCTCAACGACTGCTGCTCAAAAACCATGGGAAGCTGTACCTCGTACCGATGCTCCTTGGCTCACATTTCATCAAGCGTATGTTCAGCAAGCAGCACAAGCTGGTGCAAACATTAAAGTAATGTTTTATGGTGATTCAATCATACAACGTTGGGGAATAGAAGGTCTTCAAATTTGGCTGGCTAAATATCTACCAAGAGGTTCCGTTGATAACGGTATTGAAGGTGATATTACTCAAAATGTTTTGTGGCGTATTCGTAATGGTGAGCTCACTGGTTTGAATCCAAAACTGGTTGTTCTTATGATCGGCACAAACAATATTAATCAAGCAACACCGGATGAAATTGCCGTCGGTGTGCAAACTATTTGTCAAGAATTTCGACAACGACTTCCTAACACACGCATTCTCCTATTAGGTCTTACGCCAAGATCAGATGGAACCGCTGTTAGTGATATTATAGCTCTGATCAATAGTAAATTGATCAATCTTGATAATGGTTACTGGATTCGTTTTCTTAACATGATTTCGTCATTTGAAATATCGCATACACAAGTGAAACCGGAACTCTATATAGATTCTCATCATCTTACTGAAGCTGGCTACCAAACTTGGTACACAATAATGGAACCATTGTTTGCTGAAATGATTCAATGATTGAAAGATTTTATTGGACTTCAGAAGCGGAGTTTCTATAGTTGCTCCCTAGCCTCCTCCCAATCATATCATAGAAATCCCAGACCCACCACTGCTTTAGAGTTTTCATTTTTAAATAAACTAATTTATCGCGTTGACATTTTATGTTTAGAGTCAGTAACAGATTTAAGAATAAATTAAATTCATTTGTATTCCTATATGGAAATTCTGATAGATTTAATGAGAAATTATAAAACAAAAACGACCTTTTCAAAAAAAGATCACACGGATAAATACACTTTAGAAAAGAAGAACTATGTAAAAATAGCTATGAGGATGTTTTTCGTTGTTCAGATTAATAAATTAAAAACGGCGCACAAAAAAATAGTTAATAACATATGAAAGAGAAAAACCACCAGACGCATCGTAATGAATTATAGAATATGAATAGAAAGAATTTCACACGATATATATCAGGAAAAGAAAACAAATTAGTAAAAGTATAAGGAAAAAAAATTCAGACAACTATAATCAAATCAGTTTTATGAATCAATTTTATCTTTAAGAAAGACACATGTAAAAATATTCTCACCGGTCAAACGTGAACGTTCTTTTCTACCTAGATAGGAAGAAATGGAAAAACAGCTTTCGCTCGGAACACAAGTTGCAGGTGTACTAAGCATTATTTTTGCTAACTTACTTAAGATTATAAAGTTTGTTCCGTGCGCTTGCCAAAATATTGTTGATGATGTAACATTTGGTTTATGTTTCAAAGTAAAACTTCATATCGATTGAGGAAGCACATTTATAATTTTAAATAGTTAAGGTATTCTCTTCCTATATATATATATGTTAATAATGCAGAGGTCGTTGATGCATTGATCGGTAATGTATTTGTCATAATCTGAGATGAATAGAAAGTTTCATCGAGAACCATGATTTTAGTTTTTTGTTCGATTGAACGTTTTTCTGAATCGGTTAGGTCTGAATATTCGCGGGATCGAAATAGGCGTGCAACTAAGAAGATAACAAGATAGGTCAATTGAACCTTTCAATATTAATATATTATTATTCACTTTTAATAATTGTAATTGACCATGATCACTTTCAAAATAATGTAAGAATTTTAATAGTAAACTGATCTGTGGAAGGTTTTCAATATTTTTCAGTTTATATTCAATAATGAGATCGCATATGACATGAATCTTATTTTATTACCATACCTACTCTGTGACATTTATAACCGAAGTTACCTGCAGAGAGATGAAAAACAATTGACTTTCCTATTTCTTCTATCCTCCTCTTTTATTCCTCTTTTTCACAACTCTGTTATCCGTTAATTTTGTATGTACTAATTAATAAGATTATGCCTGAAGAAGTTATGCTTTGACAGATTATCGTTCTTCGTATTCTATACCGTATTAGATTTGACTAGCATCAAGATTTAAATTCATATTTAGGTGTCCTTCAATTCAATCCACTTCGTTCAAGTAACGAATGTTGAATTATTATAGTAAACTGCTCCGCAGATAATGGATAAATAACAATGAACGATATAATTAGATAGTAAATTGAGACTTGGTCTAATTGTTACAATCGTTCTTCGCCAAGCACAGTTTTTCAGCATATATTTTCGATCATTCACCGGTATTATTTTAGATTAATGTTTATATCCAAAATTTTTGACATGAAATCAGAAATGTTGAAAGAAACTAATTCAAAATTTGTAAGTTAAGTGCTCACTACTTATCATCAAAATAAATCTCGAGAAAGATAACAACATTAAACCAACAAATAGCGCAACTTAAAGCCACAAACATAAATGCTCGACCTTAGTTACTTTTAGTAAAACTTTATAAAAAGAATGTTTTCGTGAAAAAGGCTTTCCTTTGTGTGAAAAAATAGTTTCAAAAATTTTTAAAAACTGATAACGGATTTGGATTCTTCGACCCCAAAAACCCATGTATCTAATTTTTCTTAGACCTATTGATGAATTTTCATTGATTTAGCGTATACGAAATTCTGATTGGCTTGATCGGACAGACAGACAGACAAACTTTAAGCACTTTAGCCGGCGTATTTAAACGTCATATCACCCTTTCTTTCAGAAAAGGGAAGAAAACATATTATTCTTTTTAACTTTGAAAATAGAAGAAAACAAGTTTCTAAATTAATTTCTATATCATCGAAGATTGTTTACGAGATATCTTCCCTTTCTTGCTCTGTTCTGCAAAGAGTGGCATGCTTTTTTCTTTCTCTTTTATTTATTATAGTATATAAGGCATGCAATGGTTGACTGTTGTTTTATTATGTTTATATTACAATAGTGAACATGGCTGACAATTTAACTAAACAATAAGTTTATTCTTATGCTGACAGAGAGTTTAAGAAAGTGAAAGAGGAAAAGATACATGTAACTCAAAAAACAGCTCGTATGTATATAATTATTATACTAGGATAATATTCAAATCATTTTTCTCCAAGATACGACACTAAAAAAGTTTTTTCATGATGAATATCCTGGTTACAGATTGTGGATTTCATGTATTATTGATCACAAGTTCTTGATACCCACATCCATACAGTTCATCATTGTGGCATTAAGGGTGAATCCGCTATCGTCGACTGGAAGAACTTTATATGGGATATCTGTGTAGAGTATTGCATTAAAAATTCATCGACGATTAGTGGTGATGGTGTTATATCGTTTAGGTAGACGAGACTGCTTGGACTAAGCGTAAATATAATCGAAGGTAATTATACACTTCTGTCATATGACATATCTATCTTCTCTTTATCTGTTAGTTACTAGGTCACCATCAGTACTCAACGTGTGTTTGATGGAATTGGTTGTAACACTCGCGAATGTTTTCCAGTACTTGTAGAAAAACGAGATGCTACGACATTACTACCAATCAACCAAGAATTTATTATACCAGATACTCTGATCTTCACCGACTAGTGGACGGCTTACAACAACATCATGTCTTGTCCAGAGGATTATCAGCACCAAACTGTTAACCACTCGTTGCACTTCGTCGATTCTGTAACACATGTGAATGTGTATAAAGAGAAAAAAGAAGCAATAAATGGGACAACACAGCAATATATTATCTACTCAGTTAGCTGAATTTGTGTGGCGTCGAAAGTTTGGAGACAGACCATTTGAGAATCTTGTGAAGAAGTATCCTGGTCGATTACATCAATTAATATACGATGCTGATAAAGATAGTAAGCTATGACAAATATTATTTTACGTATAATATATAAATATCTTTATAGGAACAGATAATGTTGAACTTGAAGATTTCATGAAAATTGTTGATGATTTACTCAATCAAGAGAAAGATGATGATGATGATGATTTTCTAGTAAGTCTGACTTTTTTCAATAAAATTGTATATTTTTGATATATCTTGTATTATAAAATTTCGTTTGGATCTTGAGGGGTGGCGGTGTGGGTATAAGTTAAGAGTAGAGATACCCACACTCACAGGAAATTATTATTGTAGGGGAAAATGGAGAGGAGAATAAAGCAAAGTAGTTATATCATCCCTTTCGTTTGTCATTCGATCAGCAATGTAATCTTTATGTCGTCGAGCGTGAAACGCATCGTGTTCAGAAATTTTCAATTGAAAACAATTGATATTCAATATGCGTAGTATTTCTGCTCGATTGTTTTGAACTTAATGATTGCTTACCATTTTGACAAGAACTCAAAATTTCTAATTCTATTTCGAAAGAGGAAGAGCAAACTACAAATTTGTGTGAATTATATTCTGCAAGCGCATATATCAAAAAAATTCGATAATTTTTGTAACTTTATCAAAATTATTCTATACACTAAAGAAAACAAAAAAAAGAATGGTTTTATTTTTGCTTTTTCAAAGTATTTAACAAGAATATCAAATTATATTCAACCATTTTTAAAATTTTTTGTTCGTATCGCTCGTATTAACCATGGAAAACATTTTGATGAAATAATAATATAAATTCCAATTCCAATAAATACAATTGGAACAATATAAAAAGCATATTTTTGTGCAATTTTTCGTATGGGTCGAAAATTAATAAAAAAATAACAGAAGATAAGCCAAACAAACACTAGACCAAGAAAAATACCAATATAAACAATTATTTGCCATGCTGATGCCTCAGAAAATAATGGAGTATAGATAGAAACATTATCACCACTATTTGCTAAAGTAATACATGCAACTTTTAACATTTGAATATTTGCAAAACGATTCAATAGTATAAGGAACTTTTGTTTACATTGAATCATTGAAGAAGTATCATTTATTTTACTTTCGCTTCCTATTGGAAATTCAAATGTAAGTTGCCCATTATAGTCATCTCTACAACGAATTGTTTCAAGTTCAACAATAGAAATTTCGTCAGATGGTATAATTTCATTTATATCGATCTTAGATTTTCCACACAATTTAATAATTACTTTAATAGTATCTTTGATACCAAGAATAATAGGTACAAAACCAAGAAATCCAAGTATTTCAACAGGTATTGAAGTTGTTGATATTCCATAACCAATAAGACTAATTCCTAATATAATAATAAAACCCAAGTATTGACCAATAAAAATATGATGAACTTTAAGTGGTGAATCGTCTAATGATGCTTCAGTAAAGAAATTCATCAAAATAACAAGATCATCTGCATTGGTAATTATATAAGAAATAAATGCTTTTCCAATAACTTCTCCAACACTTTTGGTTGTTTTAATCATATTACTTTTCTTTTGAATTAAACTTCACTATTATGATATAATACTTTTGAGAATCGTTAATATAGAGATAGTTTAAAGTACTGAAACATATTTAAAACTTATTCTTAATAAGAGGTAAAACAGTACTTACCAACATATACGTTCGATGAATATAAATCGATCTTATACAAAAAAAAACATGTGAATACAAAAACCAGAACAGAACGAATATTATCTGTTTTACTTCATCAAAAAAGCAGAAGAATGACATATTGTCTATTGACTAATCGAAAGA